TCGTGTTTACATAAAGAAGTAAATAAACTGTAAAACAATAAAAAAATAAAAGGGCAAAATCTTTCTTTATTTTTGCTGAGAAATTCGTTACATGTGAGTCAGTACATTTCATCAAAATGAATCTATTTAATAAAATGTTTTTAGTTGAAATTTACAAGGGCACTGTCCCCAGTTGGCCACCATCTAGAGTCGCCCATGGAGGTGATAAAGTCTTCTTTAATTCAGCAGCTGCAGGGATGGCTTCATGTGTATCATTATGACGCACTTATGGGGGATATGGGCTGCGGATTTAGAAACAGAATCATGCATGACTGATGTATGATCATGCATTCTTCTCCAAATGGTGCCAAATGGTCCATCCTTGCAGACTGCGCCTCTTACTACAAGCATCCTGTTGTTCAGTCAGCCTTAGCAACAAGGAGAGCATCCTTCTCCCATTGGCTTCTCATCAGCTGTCTGCCATTAGCCCTCCCCACCTCCTCTCTGCAACGACTTTGGGAGGGGAGGGGGAGAGAGATCTCCAAAACACAGCAGGGCTGGGTAGGGTTTGGCCCTTAGAACGCAGTGGATGCTGAGGGGAGGGGGGGCGAGCAAAACACGGACCTTCCTTATCGCTATGGCTGTCTTATTTGAATGCAACTGGTACAATTGGACGGATGCACGCTTGGTTTCCTCTTCAGGTCCGTGTGTGTAGCAGCCAACGATGGCGGTCTAATGAGGGAGAATAGCACTCAGTGTTCTGCATCTGCAGCATCTCTGGCGCAGACGGATCAGCCTCGGTGACATTTCACAGGTTTCGCTCCAAATCAGCAGCAATTCTGCAGGTAAGAAAGCTTTTTAGTAAAGGATTTACTGTGAACTGCATGGATGCATTCCCATCTTTTGTTGTGCGTTTGCGCAAAATGATCCTTAAATCAATAATATCTGCAAACTGTCGATGCAAAAAATAAAATCATCAAAACACATATTTAAATACTTAATATATTTGTTTTCTATATATTTAGCCGAATATCTGATGTTAAACTTCTGTTATAAATCAGAAAGGAGGTTAAAATGGAAAATAGGACACGCACGTGCACAGCGGAGCCCACGCACACAGGCGCAGAGATGGCCAAAGCGCATAGTGCGCAAAATGTGTGTTAGTGTTACAGAAATGGCGATAGGGTTCCGGAGCCTGCGCTGTTCAGGGGTTTGTTAAAACAACCAGAACTGCAGGAACATGCAGATCTAGATGTGGAGGAGAAGGTCAAGAGGATTTCCATGTCAGCGCGTCTGCTGTGTTTACTGCACCAACACTCATTATGCAGACGCACGACACATAGATGTCCCTCCGCGCACTGCAGACATTTGTTGACAAGATCCTGCATAAGATAGATACTATGCACTGCAAATAGTGAAATATATGTCAGCCATTTTTTCTTGAAATAAATTAATTTCCTCTTGATTTGAGCAAGTAACACAATTTGCAGAGGGAGCAAGATTTGTTTAAAACAATTTTCTTATTTCAATTGCATAATATCTAACTCTCTTGTTTTAATGACAAACTTACTCAATTGGCAGATCTTTGCACCTGCTTACACTAGAAAAAAATGGAAATCTCGATAAGTAATGTTTTATGAAAATAAGTGCATTTTTTCTTGAATTGAGGAGGTAAGTGGAAAAAAAAAAACAATTTACATTTACACACTGCAAAAATGTAAATCTGTATAAGTCATTTTTTCTTAAAATAAGTGCATTTTTTCCTGAATTGAGGAGATAAATGAGACAGTTTGCCAATGGAACAAGAAAATGTACATTTCAAATAAGAAAAATCAATTGCATTGTCTTATTTCAAATGCATGTTATCTAATTAACTTATTTTAAGTGTAAAAATACTCATTCCATTGGCAAACTATCTTATTTACCTTCTCAAATTAAGGGTAAATACGCTTGATTTAAGAAATCTTTACTTAATTTCAGATTGTTTTTGCAGTGCAATAAGTAAACCCAATTCCATGCACTTATTTCAAGTGCATATTATCTAATTATCTTATTTTCACAGTGATACTCATTCCATTGGCAATCTGTTTCATTTCCCTACTCAAATTAAGGGTAAATACACTTAATTTAAGACATTTTTTACTTATTTCTAGATCGTTTTTCCAGTGTAAATTAAGAGCAAATACACCTTAAGACATATTTCCCTTTTTTAGATCCGTATTTGAAGTGAAGAAGCACCAGCTTTTATGTGTAGCACA